GGACATGGTTTAGTGGACATGGTGGTGTTGGGTCGACGTTGGACTCGATGATCTTAGAGGTCTTTTCCAACCTCAATGATTCTATGATTCTATGTCTTAGAGTGGGTTGGAGATGACACTTGCTTAACAGCGATGGAGGGTGTTTTTCAGGTAGCCTTATCTGCATATTTTCCTGTCTCCTTCACTGATAACATTGGTGATGGGCTAACAGAAGTTAGGGAAGGAGGAAGATGTCTTTCCACAGTAGCAACTTCTCAGTTTCACTTGGACAGGATTGTTATTAAGCTTTATACAAAGCCAAAATAGAGGAGAATGGCTTTTCTTCCACACTGGACTTTCCGGTATTGAAAATGTAATGCTGTTAACAATATTAACAGCTGTCTTTTCTGGTGCTGTCTTTACCATCGTGTCCTGTATACTTCTGTTTATCCCCTGCCAGTGTCTTACTTAAATTTGGAAAGACCTGTAAAAAAGCAGTGTTTTCTCTTTTAGTACTAACAATTTTCTTTAGGCATTTGTTGCTATTCTTAAATATGAAGAAAATTGATATACACCCCAGTTTGTTTTGAGTAAAGACGTGTCTTAGTTCTACAGTCACTTAAGGTATGGCAATATTAATGTCCCTGTGTTTCTTATGAGTACCATGATTCCTAAACACATCCTTATTTTTAATATGACGTACATCTGGCCACTTGACCTGTTCTGCTGTGCCTCACTCTACCCTCCCAGACTTATCCAATGGCTCTTTTTACTGAATCAGGGTGCTCTTCTGCTTAACCATTTGAGCTGTGTAGCTGACATTATTGGTAAGTGAATGGCCCATATGAGATCCCCAAGAAATTGGTGTATAATGCTGTGCATATATATCTGTGTAAGTAAAACTGTAGTATATGAATGAGACACAGAGCCGATAGTGGTTTTTTTTTTTTAAAAACAATAGCCACCTTTGTAGTGTAGTGGCTATAGTCCTTTGCAGACTAGAAGTTCAGCCTAGGATTGCTGTAGGCTCAGGTAGGTGGTTTTAGCCACAACATCATGCCAGGCCACTCTTACTGTCTGGTCGTAACAGCAGCAAATGTGCAACAGCTTCTTCATGACTCCAGTTAACTATCCAGCTGCTGGCTTAAACAGCTGATGAGAGTGGATGTATGCAGATATTCAGCACTCGGAAATGAAGTGGCTGAGGCATGAATGCACGCCTTATTAATGATTGCTAACTAACACAGAAGACTGAAGTGTGTTGGTTAAGGAGTGGGTGCAGCTCCGATTCTGCTGCAGATCTTCTGTCCTGCTCTGGGGATAGCAGCTTCTGATGAGTAGACACAGAAAGCATGTGCTAACTCCGAAGCTGCTGCAGTAAAATGTGATGGAGACTGTCTGTCAGAGCTAGAAAGTGCCTAACATATGGATTTGGGAAGTGTTATCTTCACATTTTGTTGGGGTTACATGTGTACTTGAATTGCTCATTAAGCAGCAGTGAACTTGATCAGAATTTTTTTTCCCCCAAATAATAAAAAAATGTGATGAGTCATTGGCTTATCACAAAATATTTAGGACTTTGCAAAGGTACGTTACAATAATTGAGCAGTAAGGAAGCCAAAGGAGCAGGTGAAGTGTAGTACATTTAGATGAGGTTATAGCTGTAGCACCTTCCATACAGTAGTACAATCTTGATAACTGACACAGTTGATGAGGGTTGATGTTTTAGGTTTCTGATCTTTTGTGTTGTTTAAAACCTTCCATACTACTCATTTCATAATTCAAAATAAGTGTCTTATATTCTGCTTGTATGGGTAAGTCAGTCTTTATTGAATTTACACTCTTACTTCTGGAGAAAAAGCAGGTAGTCTCCCTTCCTGCCTGCAACTCTGGGAACTTAAAATGTTTGCTAATATCATGGCACTGAAGTATAGTTACTGTGTAATTACTAATGCATTTCTCTTTCCTATACCCCCAAGTAGACCACATTAAAGGTGAGCAACTCTGGTATAGAGGAGGGAGTGAAAAGGGAGATCCTCAGGAGTATTTAGGTACCAAACCTGAGCTGCTAACAGCTGAAGTTAGTCACCTGAAGCCCAGAGAAGGTTTGAAGCTAGGTGACCTCCCTGCTTGCATGCAGCATCTGTCACAAAATAGGGTATGAAGTCACAGTCTTCTGCCTTCTGGCCCGCTGCTCTGATGTGCTGCATGACAGTGTGCCTATGGTGCCTTCTGGAAACTGAGTGGAGGTTGTCTTGATGGTTTACAGGTTGCTGCTGGAGCTGCTAGAGCTTCTTTTTGACAAATTCAACGCTGTGGCTGCTGCGCACTCTGTCGTCCTTGGACACCTTCAGCAAACAGTGGCCTCTCCTTGCAGCCAGTATGATGGTGATATCAAGCTCTATGACATGGTTGACGTGTGGGTGAAGATCCAAGATGTCTTGCAGGTAAGAATCCTTGAGGTGGGCACATTTTCAGCTTGGTACAGCTTTTATAACCAGGATACCAGAGAATACTTGTCATACTCAAGAGACAGATGTGCTGGAATTTGTCTTGATTTTTGGTAAGCAGTCACATTTATAACAGACTGTTAAACTCCAGAGAGCTTAAATATCAACAAAAAAAATTCTGTGGATTAATCCTTACGGTGTATAGAAAGGTTGATTCCTTTTGCCTACCAAGTGATTTATCAGAAGCTTTTAAACAGTGACATTTTTGTTCTGTGTTACCATGTCATGCCTATCTTATGAAGTGTCACAGCTCTATTCGCTTGTCTTCTCTTGTCGTTATGGCTTGGTTATAGTCAGCTGAGACACTTGCTGCCAGCGTGTTTTCAGGGGTTTCTTACTTGGTTCTTATTCTTAACTGTAGTGTACTAAAGCTGTACATTGCTTAGGCTTTATTTTGGTACCATGCCGCTCACCTTTGTATCTGAGACTCTCACAAGCAGCAGAGCTATCATCTGTCACATGTCTGTTCTCTCCTTCTTGCTGTGAGGCTAACACATGCACGTTAGAATTTTTTATTTATTTATTTTAGAATTGCCTTTATATATAGTACCCAGATGTAGACCTCACCCAGTATTTGATAGAGGAGGTCAAAGAAATGAGCCTGGCATTATTTACAAGAGGTGGCAAGATTTATGATGGTCATTCCACCTCTGGCCTGTTCATGAAAAATGCTCTCTGTCTCCTACTCTAACACAGTTTTTCATTGTAGGGCACAGGTCTATTTAGCTGTTGCTCTAGAGGCTTGTTTGACTGTGCAGTGATTCACACAGTTTTTTTGCTTACACAAATACAGCCAACTGTGTGCATGGTGTGAATTTAGATACTTCTTGGACATGGTAAATGTAAGGTATGGGCCTTTGATCACATCCGCTGTTTCCTTACCCACTTATTTGTCTTTCTAGAGGGGTTAGTATTTTTATTAAAGAAATCTTGATCAGTTTTCTCTATGATACAAATTTTCACCTCCCTTCAATATTGCTCTTGCAAAAGTTTGATTGGGAATGTCATAGAATCATAGAATCATTGAGGTTGGAAAAGACCTCTAAGATCATCGAGTCCAACCGTCGACCCAACACCACCACCCACTAAACCATGTCCCTAAGTGCCTCATCTACTCGTCTTTTAAATACCTCCAGGGATGGGGACTCCACCACTTGCTGGATTTAGCACTCCAGGTGTGGCTTTACCAGGGCTGAGGGGAAGGACCATCTCCTTGATATCCTGGTAACAAACTTCCCAAGACAGTCCGGGATACTGCTGGCCACCTTTGCTGTGAGAGTACATTGCTCACTTCGAATCATAGAATCATAGAATCATTGAGGTTGGAAAAGACCTCTAAGATTCATCGAGTCACCCGTCGACCCAACACCACCACCCACTAAACCATGTCCCTAAGTGCCTCATCTACTCGTTTTTTAAATACCTCCAGGGATGGGGACTCCACCACTTCCCTGGGCAGCCTGTTCCAATGTTTAACCATAATCCAGGAGGATGGATAACCATGTCCAGCCAGAGGTTAATGATGGGTTTTCTAAACAAAAGAATGTCATAGAATTGAAGCTGTCTGGCCCTGTTAAAGGGAAGAATTAAACTTAAGGGCTTGGCACGGGGTGCCTCCAGCCATCTTACTGTCATCCGTGAGGTCTAGAAAAACTTTAAGAGCTTTGAGTTCTGCAGACTTTTCCAGGAGGATGGATAACCATGTCCAGCCAGAGGTTAATGATGGGTTTTCTAAACAAAAGAATGTCATAGAATTGAAGCTGTCTGGCCCTGTTAAAGGGAAGAATTAAACTTAAGGGCTTGGCACGGGGTGCCTCCAGCCATCTTACTGTCATCCGTGAGGTCTAGAAAAACTTTAAGAGCTTTGAGTTCTGCAGACTTTGTTCCAGGAGGACAAAGCCTTGGGAGTAAGAATCCTCCAAGATTTTATCTTCAGTGAAGCAGAATGACAAGGCTGGTAATTCCCCCTTATCAGTGAGAGTTTGTGATGGTTTCATTCCTCATGAGTGGTGAAATTGGGATTGAGTTATACTGGCTATTCCAAAACAACATTGGCAAAACTTCTATACAGCAGCATGCGTAGGTGTGCACATATAGAGAGTGAATGTGCTTTCCATGTTGGGGAGAAAATATTTGACCAAGCTTTCTATAAAATAGATGCCAAGAAAAATATAACAATCCATTTGTAAAGGTTTCGTTGCTATTGGCCTGACAGCACAGGTGTCGGAGGGAGTCAGAAAAGCTTCTAAAAGAGCTTTTACAGTTCATAAAAGCAGCACTTTAAGATCCATAATCTCTTGCTGTTTTAGGGCAAGAGATGAGCATTGACTGACATGGAGAGGAGGAAAACTTCCATTTCTTTGTTCCAAATCTTGTGGGGTTTTTGTACGTTAGTTTCATAGGAGCGGATTATTATTTTTTTTTTTTACCTTACAGTGTAAGAAAACCCTTGATCCCAAGACTAAATTATTTCTATCCTGTTTTTCCGAATAAGGATAATTTTTTGAGAGGAGATCTTATGTTTGTGGCAGGGGGAGCAGAAAACTCAGTTTTAAAAGTGTTTATTTAAATGTGCCTGCTGTTGGGGGAGGATGAACATTTGGAGGAAGCGGGTTCATGGCGGGGTGCGTCAGAGAAACGATGCAATTCCTGCAGATCGTAATGAGTGAAGTTTATTCATCATGCTAGAACAGTATCACATGACTCCGCAATTCACATGGATAATCTTTTGCACGTGTACACTGTGCATCTCTGCATGTGAAATACGTTACAACAAGGTTATCTCTTTATAGTTCTGTACAAAAGTAATAATGTGTGCTCACGGTGGGCTGGAAATTGTCCTTTGTGGGAAATGTGAGAGTGTTGTTTTCAGCAGCTTGTTTTTGTAGCTGGATTTCTGAATGCTGCCTTATAACTGCACCGAGCACCGTGGTGTAGTATTAGATAGGTGGCACAATGTTGTGCAATGTTTAGATACTGAACATGCAGATATTATATATTTTTGACCTTCTCTGAGAATGGAAGAATTAATACTGAACTCGTCAGGATGAAAACAGAGTGACCTTTTAGAGTTGGGTACCAGAGTGCTAGAAAACAAACAAACAAACAAATCAGTTTGTCAAAATATTAGAGCAGCCTTGTTCAGGAAAACACAGTTTGAAGTTATTTACTTGTACTGGAGCCAGCTTAGCCTGTAGTTGTATTGCCGTACCAGCAGGAGAGATTTGAAACTTGTTTAAATTTTAACTTGGCATTTTGTGCATGGAGCTAATTTAGCTCTTCAGTGTAGGAGTGGGTGGAATATCCTTCTGAAGAGCGTAATGACTGTAGGACCAAGTACTCGGCTGGAGAGAACTGTGAGCTGTGTTACAACGGCAATTAGCAATGTACTGACATGAATAGTTGCTTCAGGACAATGCAGTGAAGGAATTCTGAGTTTTTCTGGCACAATTCAATGTATACGCTGCACCATCCCATCCTAAATCATGAAGGCTATGCTGTGTGAAAGGCACAGTGGTGTACAGCTTTGGAAAAAGGCAGGAGGTTTTGGGTGCGGCATAGTCTGCGTTGTTTTACTTTTTCAGTCTAGGCCAAATCTCCTTAGCCCAGATAAGGGCTTTTCTGTCCTGTGGTATTGGTGTCGGGGGAGTGACAGCTGGTGGACACGCTATGGTGTTCACTCATATTTGGTGTGATGGATCTTCCTTGCTGCTATCTATAGCACAGAACTTTTAACAGTTCATTCACCTTTTCTTAGCACTGTTTTTTTGATACCACGATGAGAGAGAGGCATCTGTCCCTGCTGAATAATACCAGTGTTCATTCAGCTGCTTCAGAAATGTCACCTTTCTAGTGATAGGATGATCACCCTGTCAGCTATTTTGTCTCAGTGCAGTACCCGTCTGCTGGAGAAAATACCAAAGACATCTCCATGTGTACTCAGAATCCTGTTATCAGCTTAGGCTGGTGCTATTTGCCTCCAAGGAAGGGTTGCTCTCTTCTTTTGTAGTAGTAGTATTTGCAGTTGATGGATCTCAATTTTTTTGGGAGTGTTTCTATTTTCTTGCTTCTACAAAAGGGAGGGAAAATCACATATATGCTCTGGGACATATATCGTATCTTTAGCAGCACAAGTATGCAGGCTGTTTGGTGGTCTGTCTACCAAGAAGACACTGACAGTTATTACTTTCGTTTTTTTGGGGTCTTCTGTCTAATGCTTTTGGGCGTTTTCCAAAAATGGTGTGATTTAGCAGCCTAAACATTGTTGAAACACCATAAGGAAACTGGGACAAGAGAAACTGAAGCCTACGCTCCGCCTGCACACTACTGTTCTGCTGCTGCAGAGCTGGATATCAGAAACTGTTCATCGAGAAAGCCTCTTTCTTTGCATATGATGCTTCTCCGTCCAGAGGCTGTGTGACATATCCTTCCTTATAAGGAAGAATGACACGCGAATGTGGGATTTGAGCAGGGAGATGGAGTAGTTCTGCAGTACACAGCTAGGTCTGGTGGCCAGCACTGTGAGCGATCTCGCTGAAAAGCTGCACTTAAATTGTGTTTGCTATGCCATACTTCTCCAGGAGTACTGCTAGAGCACTTGGAGATATATTTCACGGCTCTGCTGCTGTAAGCTGAGCCACTCTGTGATTTTCTAAGTGAATTAATGGCAAAAATTATTGGTCATCTTAGGCACACGGATGAGCAGGGAAAAGACAGTGGAGTTCAGCAGTACTCAATTTACCCCACTACATCCTCATGGAAAAGGTGTAGAGGGTTCAACTCCATGTCAGTCTATGCAGATCTAAGCCAGCTGTGCTGTGATGCCATTTCTTCTTCTCCCGCAGCCCAGGATGCTTTCCTTGCTCCAGCAGCGTTGCTCATTTTCCCGACAGTAATCTAATTTGAGGGAGTTGATTTGGCCAAGTATTTTCTGCTGG